TTTCTCTTTTATAGTTCATGCCTTTTATAGCCTAAGAAATCTTTAAGATTTTTTTTTAACTCCCCAAGTGACTCTCACACACGGGCAAAGCTGAGCACTGCTGGTCTGTTGGGAATCTGACCTAGCTTTCCCAATTTAACCTGACTTTCCACCACAGAACCATAGGGCAATAAAGGTAAAACAGGAGTCTGGTTAACTGGAATAATGCAAAAAGCAGCATGCAATTGAGAGTCTTAGGGCTGTCTGAATTGACTGGCTTCCAAGGCTAAGTGTGAGCAGCTGTGAAGGGCTAGAAATAGTGAGTTGAAATGCAATGTCAGAAGTACTTTGTGTGTTCCAGCTAAGTGAAAGGAGGGAGAGAGAAGAGGATCGTCCTCTCCCCTGTGGGAAAAAGCACACCCAAGTTTATTTCAGTTTAAAGTGAAAAAGTGAGAAAAATTATTTCTATCCTTAGTGGGATTCTTTAGAACATGCCTTTTACAGAGATGACATGGAGCTGGGAGTAAGACTTGGCAGCGTTTGGCCACCGTTTTCGAAGCCACCACATTAAACAAATGAAGTTGGCAGCAATAATATTTGCCCAAACCTTGGTTCCAACAGAGGTTAGACAGACTGAGCTTTCATTACACGAAAGGAGATGTCAGGAGCACCAAATGGGCTCAATTTCCCGTGGAGCCCTAGACAAAGTGAGTCTGTTTCGAAGCTGTGGACAGGAGGCTACTTTCTCTAGACGTTATATTTAGCTAAAGGAATCTCCAGCATGGCTTCATGCAAAATGTAAAATATGTCCCACACACATAACCACAAACCAGAGGGCCAGCAGGGAGCATCCCTTACGGGGGTTCAGCAGCATAGAGGGGCCAATTGTGCAGCTACCTTGACACCCACAGATTAGCTGAATTAGCTGTGGGCCAGATTTTTGGCCAGTTCTCACATTTAATGAGTCTTTGTTTCTCTCTTACTAGAGATTCTGCCCCTGAGGAGAAAAATATACTGCCCTATTTCACTCCCAACCTCCAGCTGCTTGCCCAGACGCCAGGTAGGAGAAACAACCCAATGCTGATGGTCAACACCTCCATACCCCTTAAAGGTTTGTGTGCAAGGGAAAAGGTTAGGTTAATTCTGTAACTAAGTGAAACATCTGGATTCAACAGAAAAGAGTGAGAAAACCCAGAATACCCTCTACTCTGCACACCAGACCTAGAGAGTCCTAATGGAACATGGAAATGGAAACCTGGGTTCTAGCACCAGATGACCAGATTTAAATACTAGCCTCACCTCTTTTTTGCCTCATCTCTCTAAGCCTGAGTTTCCTCCTTCACAAAACAGGGATAATAACAGTGAGTACCCTGTAGAATTATTGTAACGATTAAACAAGACAATGCATATAAAGTGCTTAACACTGTACCTGGCACATAAGTGTTCAAAAATGTTAGTTTTGATTATCACAACCTTTGCCAGTGAATCATCAAGTTTTATAGATTAAAAAAAAAGAATTAAAAAGGAAGAAAACTCGTGACTTTTGCCAGTGACAAATAAATTCAAATTCACACAAAACTCAGGTAGATTTTCATAGGTGTTCATAGCTGAACCAGAAATAAAGGTATCTTTTCTGAAGCCTATCTCCAGAGAAATGTGGATTTTCCTTTTGCTGCTGGAACCGAGTTTACAGGTAAAGTAAAAGGTATATCTAATTTATACATTTGGATTCCAGTTTGGCATCTCTTGGTTGCTGGCCATGACAGATAACAGCATCTGAAACAATGCTTCATTTCTCAAGAAATTCGGTCTTCAATTGCATAAGCTAGGCCCCTCTCCAAACCCATACCCACTTTTGTTTGTCCTTATCTCGGGGACTGCAATTTATCTATCACCATTTAACAAAGGTCACCCAACAACCAGAAGGAAGCCCCCAGTGTAGGATATCCTTGTCATCAAAGAATTACAGTATATGAGATTTCGAAGGCAGCATGGAAATCATCCAGCCCAAATACTTTTTTTAAACTTCAGGGAACTGAGGCACAGAAGAGAGAAGTAATTGTTCAAGGCTTCAGAGTTACTAGCAGAGCTGAGCCCAGGAGAAAGGGTCACTCGGAAAAGGGCTTCTGCTCGGACGGCACACGGCAAGCTCCGGGAAGCTTCACACAACCAACAGCACGGCCAGGTACATTCCTCACATATCTTACCTGACCACTGTAACTTAACCAGTGGGATTCTAATTCTTCATGAACAACACATTCTAAACAAAAGAGATTGAAAAACTAAGGTACGGAGAGAGAATGCGTCTTTGCCCAATACTAGAAAGCAAGGAGGTTCTCATCTAGCCAAAACAGAACTAACCTACTGTTTAGATCAGCCAAGCCAGCTTCCACCTCAGCGTTCTCTGCCTACATTGGACCCCAAGGGAGAGAGAGAAAGAGATTATTCACCCTGTGGGACAGTAAGCATTGGCTATGTAACAATCCTATTCACATCTCTAATCAATAATAATTTAATTGATTATAAAGTTACAAAGTTAAAGAGAAAAAGTTATAAAGGTCAAGGGAAAGTCCTATGATCTGCAACTATATACAAGAATACGAATAAATCTCACAAACATAACGTTGAATGAGAGAAACCAGACACAAAAGAATACGCACTGTATGATTCTATTTATATAAAGTAGGAAACCAACCAAAACTAATCTCTGTTGTTCAAAGTCAGGACAGTTGTTATCCTTGGGGGCGGACTCCTCCCAAGCCCCTGATGACTAGACGGGAGCATGAGAGGGGCTTCTGGAGTAGTGAAATACTCTGTCTTGATCTGGGAGCTGCCCACCAGGAGCACTCAGCTTGTAGAAATGCATTTAGCTGTAAGCCTATCAAGTGTGCACTTTTCTTCAATGAAATATAACCTATAAACAGTCCTGTGAGTAACTAGGAAGTCTTCCTTACACCCCCAGCATAGAAATGCACAGCTTAAGGAGGTACGCCCTGAGATCTTAACCAGGAGTATCACCCATGGGTGGATCTTCCTTCTGGAGGGGCAAATGCTCCATGTCTTGCACACATGGCTTGCACTCAGGCCTTGGCTGAAATGTGAATGGTTCTTGAGGAATTAGGAATACTTGTGCTTTGACAACTGGCTGTCTTCGGCATGAACATTGCTGAGATTTGGAGGGGCTATAAGACTCTCAGTTTGGTTTTTCTTGAACCTTCTAAAGCTGGCAGAAAAGGGGGCTGGGAGACTGAGTGAAGTCTAGATAGCTGAACATCTCTCACAGTTTTCTCTCAGAGGAACAGAGAAACGGAGGAGGAAACCATCAGTCAACCTTTTCCTTCTTGAGATAGTCTAATGGGCTGTCAAGGTCACAGAGAGGAGCTGAAGTGGTATCTGATTACTGTCAAAGTTCCACCTAAGTAGGTTTTTAAATAATTTCTTAAATAAAAATTGTATATATTTAAGGTGTACAACATGACAATTTGATATACATACATATACAAAGTGAAATGATTACCACGGTCAAGCTAATTAACATATATCTCCTCACATAGTTACCTTTTTTGTGTGTGTGAAAAGAGCAGCCGAAATCTACTCTCGGAGCGTATTTCCAGTGTTCAATACAGTATTATTAACTACAGTCATTAATTTTAGTCACATACACACATTACCAAGTGTTGCAGAATACTTCAAATTAATGACAAGCGAGCTAGAGCAGATGCTGGAAACCAAGGAGATGGTGAAAAGTACCCTCACCCTAAATGAAGGATGGCCCCAATCAGAGCACAGCCGGGCCGCTAAAAATAGCCAGTGAGCTCTGGGAGGAGTTATCTTTCTCTCCCTTCTTTTCACTGTCGGATGACTGGACCCTTAATATCCTGTCTTTCAGACACAGGGAAAGCCCCTTCACAGATGCACTTATGTAGATGGAATATTCTAAATCACTTCTTTTTTCATGCTGATATAAACAGAAGAAACTGGGCTCTAACTCCAGACCTAGTGAGATCTGTCTGGAAAACTTCCTCCTGTTAAGAATTGGAAAACTGACCAAGAGCTATGGCTCTTATCGACCACAGTCTTGTTTATTGAAGTCTTTTCTCTCCCAACCTCAAATTTTAACACTGGATTTTGTCAACTGGAAACCAATGAATTCCCAAATATGAAACCAACGAAATACCTTATATGTCTTCTTTATATCTATAACTTGTGGGAAGATTATTTGCCTTCTAAGAAGTTTTCTGGGGATGTCTGAGCTTGAGTATTAGACATGGTATATCATGTAACATGGTTGAGGCTTTTGCCACCATTTGTAACCAAAAGTCATGAAGAAATGACTCCATTGAGAGCTCGGGCTGAGAGAGCTTAGAAAAGAGGTTCCTGAGTTTCCAAGAGGCTAGTTCCACTGCTGATGGGTAAGGTGAATTTGGCATAAATTTCTTAAGATTATCACAATTAATTTTGAGTTTTTTCCTTGGTCAAATTTTTCAACTTACACCCAAGGAACTGTGACCAACAACTGAGTTTCAGAAAGCATTCAGGCATCCAAAGTTAAAGATATGTAGATACGTCATGATAAGAACAACCAAATTCATGAGTTCACCTTGGCCCAGATGAGAACTTGGAAAGAGAACTAAACCAAAAACATAAACATACACGAATTTGCTAAATGAACTGGAGGAGGAAAACATGAAACAACATCAAAGGTCCCCAAATCTAAGCAGATTCACAAATCACTGAGGGAAATAGACCGAACACAGCCATTATTAATGTATGCAGATCGTGAATTATGCTGCCGGTCTCAGGCTTGTACCTTGTAAAGCGCTACTTTCTCAGGCTACTATTAATTCAGCTGAGAAAGGAAGAAAAGCACGCCAATTCTATATTTTTTCTCCACAAGTACATAGTAGGGAATGACCAATGGAAAGCCTTTCAGGTGTGCCAATAAGATACTCTTTCTCTTATTCACAAGATTGTGTCATTGCTCCATCCAAGTATCTCTGTGACAAGAAACAGATACTTACCTTTTTAAAGAGTCTTCCTGAGTCCTCGCTGACTTGGACAAATCGAGGAATGATATTATTCAGGTAGATGTCACTCAGGGTGGTGTGGTCCCTGCTCTCCCGCTTCACCTGGTTTAAGAGGAGATTCCAGCAGTTGACTGGAGAGAGAACATTCTGATCCTTCCTGCAGAGAAACAGCAAGAAAAAAAAAAATCAATGTTGGTAAGCAGCCAGGGCCAACATCTACGACTAAGGCCATGTCACAAAATCACAGCAATCAAAGCCAAATCGGAAACAGCAGTATCTTTCCTGAAGCTTGAACCTCTAGTTTTCTCTTTTTCTAAAAACTCAGTGGAGAAAATAAGAATGAGAAGGAGAGAGAGGGAGCTGGGAGAGGGAAACAGAAAAAGGAAGAGGAGAAGCAGGATTACCTGTAGAGCATGGGCAGTGTTCTAGGAACCTGGTGCAGGCTTTATAGACATTATCTCGTCTAAGCTCCATCGTTTGTTGTAAGAAATGACCTACCGTTATCCCCATTTTACTGGTTAGAAAACTGAAACTTAGAGAGATTGTCATTTGCCTACAACTAGTAAGGACGAGTCACAGAGATAGTAAGAGAGAGTCAGGGACTAGAACCACAGTTCTGTGTTGTCTGAACAGAACAGGTCTAGGCTGCCTGACTCCAAAGTCCATCACCTTAGCCACTAAGTCATTTGGTTTGTGTCTAGGGTTAGGGACAAAAGTTAGAGATGTTGTCTAGAGATAAGATCACGTGAGCACTGCAGACTGCATCCTCACACACTTCTCTACCATAGGAGTCAACAAAGCCTGCTTTGGAGGCATCTGCCAGGGAAAAGATGCTAAAATCTTTTTAGTCCCACAGAATGCATCTACGGGGGTTTTGATTTCATTGATTGAGCCATTATCTCTTGTCCCATACAACCAAGAGCACAAACCACATCTGAACATACATATTCCTACAACTTCTACAGCCTGAGTGGAACAGTAAAGTGCCAAACCAAGATGCTCATTTCTAATGAAAACATTGTGATCCAGAAAAATTATTATTTATTTTTTTGGCGAGAAAGATTGGCCTCGAGCTAACATTTGTTGCCAACCTTCCTCATTTTGCTTGAGGAAGTTTGTCACTGAGCTAACATCTGTGCCAGTCTTCCTCTATTTTATGTGGGATGCCAGCCCCAGAATTATTATTATTATACTCAGTTCACAGCACTAATTTAAGCAACAGAAAGTTCTGCATCTGCAAGTGGGATTTCTTTAAGGAGAGAAACAGAAAGTAGTGGTTGTTTGTGATACTAATAATCAGGGTTTACTGTACACTCGGCACATGGCTGGGCCCTACACTCACGTTGCTTACCTTGAACCCCACAATAACCTGATGAAGCGGGAGTTATCAACCACATTCAGCAGATGAGGAAAGTTGAACTAAGAAAGGTTAAATATTTTGTTCAAGGTCACATAGCTAAAAAGTAGCAAAGCTGGAATTCAGAACCAAGCCTCGTAATTGCAAAGAGAATGCTCTTAATCACTCAAAGACACACAACCTATTCACCCCTCTTTTGCCTCTTCCCTCCCTACGGTCAGACTCTTAATGCAAAGAAAGTGAGTCGAAAGTGGCTTGGTTCTCAAGGCATCGCTGCCTTCACTCAGGGCTGGAGGCTGCCAGGCACCTGTGATGTGTAGAGCATGGAATTCAAGCTGGAAGGGCTTTTCCAAGTCTATAGTAAGGCAACTACTAATAGTCAGGCCACACCTCCTCTGGCTTCAGAACACACCAGACTGTGAGATCTAATACCTGTCTAACCAGCACCAAGAAGTTGCTTCAAACCAATGAATATTAGAGTCCAAACTGAAACTGTTCTATACCTGCCCACTGCCCCAGGCATTGCACTTCTGTGGTCAATATCCCTAATGCTTTTGTGTCAACTACTGTGGTAACACTATGTCACTGATGTTTCCAGGGAAATTTAAAGATTTCTATGGAAATAAAAAATATATACTAGCTGAGAGAGAGAGAGATGCATGTAATTAATCCATTCCTTTCAAACTGTTTAGCATCTGAAAAAAAAAGTGAACAAGAAACAATCCTAAACTCAAAATGGTGAGAGAGTGGAGCACATGCACTCAGTGACATTTGATGTTTCCACTGCAAGAGAACTTTTAAACTGATTCCAAATGAATTTCAGTCAAAAAATCCTAAATAATCTAATTTACATTTTTATCAGGTAGTAAGATATCCACATCCTCGGTCAGCACGGAATCTATGAGGCAATTACATTCTGCTTTTTAAAAGGGCAGATCTCCCAAGACCTTCACTTGAAACTGGTTTCAATCTGCTTCTTACAGGTGAACATGGGTTGATGGCCTCTATTAGTTCGTTTCCTATAGTGCTTTACACACATGAAAACAATGCCACAATTCTATTTCACAAACGAATAAACATCTTAAATGAACAAAGTGCAGTATTAGGGGCTTCAGTGGTTATAAAAGTGCTGATGTCACAGTGCAGTGTAGGAGACAAAGGAAGACCTCTAATGCAATGGAACATGAAAGGCACGAACGAAGGGCCAGTGAGCTCACAAGTGCACATCACAGATCACAAGAGCAGGAGGAGAAGCAAAACCAATCGACACCATGGAAAAGGATGCAGGGCATAAATCCCAAGGGGACCCTCAGAGGAAAGGATGAGCAAACAAAGTTGAGTTAATAAAAAGGATGGGCAAAAGTGGGAATCTTTGAAAATAAAATGCCTATCACTTAACACTAATAAATTTATTAGGGACTTCTAAGTTGCTACAAGTATTTTTATCACATGTATTTATTTCCATCCTTATAGCATGTCATGGGACAGCTATTATTGGTTTTAGCGAGCAGAAGCTTTTAAAGTGTGTTCCGAGAAACTCTGGAATTACAGAAAATCGCACTTCAATTTCAAATGATCTAACACACTCCTTCAGATGAGCAACCTCCACTTAAATGTGCAAGAGACCCAGCACCCGGTTTGCCTGCAGTAGACACCACCACAATGCCTCATGGGCTGCGGAGCGAGCTTCACTGTAAGCTTTGGAATAAAGGATCAAGGTGTGTACCTGAACCTCTGAAAAATGGCCTGTTGGTTAGAAGCGATGTTGCTCTGCACAGGTTTAGTTTTTAATATAAGCCTGTGTGCCTCCTTGGGGGAAGCTGTTCAGGTGAGCACATGACTTGACACACAGTGGCCAAGTTCAATTCCAGGTCACAGCAGGCTCAGGGGCCTATGCTGGGTTCCTGGGAGACCACGGCTGGGTAGGGAGAAGGCACATGCTCAGTATCATCCCACCGCATTATCAATTGTTGTAGTGCTGATTATACGTTTTTGAGCATATCCAATTCATATTTACAAACGGGAATGGGAATAGCTAGGCAATGTTAGTGATCCAACTTCAAAACAAAAATATCCTTCTTTTTATCGAGATCAATTTAAAACTATCTCAAGATCACAACTCCTCGGTGTGAATCAGGATTTTCTTGGTATTGGGCAACACAAGTCAGAACCAGAAATAACCTGGATGCTGAAACCGATATAAAACGGCAAGTAGGATTCATAAGCCCAATTTTGATATTTTGGATTCACAAACATAGCCTCATTGTTCTCACTGATTGACTCTGTAATAAGTACTCTTTATAAATTTGCACTTTAAAAGTAGATTTACACCAATAAAATACTGCTTTGATCTGCTGCCTCTACGGGGGTTCTATGCAAGATTTTTATTTTAAAAAAGGAGTCTGGCTTTAAAAAAACAGTATTAGACTCTGCTGTCTGTTTCTTCTAGGGGTTCCCACTCTCTTTTACTATTACTGAGGCTTTTCATATAATATTTTTGGTTCTTTGAGAATGTATGCTTTCTCAGACATATTCCTCCTTTCAACTGAGGTGTTTTAATTAATTCATTTATTTATTTTGCGGTAGTGTGGGCCAGGAGAGGTGAAGGGTATGTGGTAGGAGGGGACACAAATATCCTGCAGAGACAATTTTCCCAGCCAACAAGAACAAAGATGAAACACACTTCAGGCTGGAAAATAAGCAAGTCAACGAGACGTGATTTCATAGGAGTGTATTAAGGTTCTGTGAGAGTGGCTTCCTGCTTCAGCAGCCTTTAGCCTCATTTATTTGGGGCTGCTAGAGCCAAGGGACCTTCGTTTGGTTAGGAGACTGAAATTTGTCTTTCTATCTTTTCCATCTATCACTTGTTTGTACAGTGTCTTTACTTCCCGCCCCCGGAGGCGTAGGCTGTGTAATCCTCGGGCATTTAAAGAAAAGGGTCTGCATCCCTTAGGAATGTGCTGAACAGCTGCAAACCTCCTCAGACACTAATCTCTAAAAAGCAGACAAAATACCCAGAAGTATTGTTCTTACTTAAACAATTTTTCAGGAGGAAGATTAAGAAAACATAATACTGTACTTGAGAGGGAACGACTCTAGAGTCAAAAAAAAAAAAAAAAAGAGGAGGTCCAGAAAGTCACAAGCTGGCTACGCATCCACAGAAGAGATTTTCATTATAAAGGCACTGAAGGAGACAAACCTGCGTGGCTGCATCAGTAGCTTCAGATACATCAGCCCAGCTTTTCTCCTTCAACTTAGACTACTTGTGGACGTTCAACAAACTTAGCAACAAATGCTCACACGGACTTCTCCACAATATCCGCGGCGAAGAGCTGACTCCAGAAAAGGCCCCACGTTGGCCGCGACATTACACTTCCTTTTTTCCATATACCCCATAAAGTGGACACACACCCTGTCAGTGTACATCTAGCTCCCTAAAGATCTTCAAAGCATGACCGTAAAATCCTGGAAGCTCTGCTGGCCTAAGTGGCCATTTAATTAATAAGTTTCATGTTCACAGCCCTGCAGATGGGATGCAGGTCACAAGCTTGGCATTACTGGATGGCTTGAGCTTTCGAAGCACTGATCTGCTGAGGTCCATTTCCTTTTGGGCCAACTGTCTCTGACTTGCCCACATCGCAGGGCTGTTGTGTGGTTCAAATGAGATGCTGGATGCAAAAAAATTACATCAAGAGTAAAGCACTATACAGATGTGAAGAAATATTATTACTTTTATTTCCAAACAAACTAAGATTCAGCTTTCATCAATTTCCAACATGCTCCTCACCCGGCCCTGGGCC